ACCAAACTGCATTTCTGGCAGATCCTACAGGTATTTTTCTGCATTTACAGCTTTTATAAAGCAACAACACATGGGCAAATGTACAGTATATATGTTGTAAAGATGTACTAAATATGTTCCTTTTTATTTTACTCAAGCATACACTTAAAGAACAGTTCCAGGTATGGATATTTTATAAATAGTTACATTAGTTCAGTTTCGGTCAATGTATCTATGTACATACCATACTTGATTAATGCCCCTGGAAGCTGGAAACCACTGAATTACTCCAATGATCTCCACTTACTTCGATGCTCTGCGCTGAGCAGTCGGCCTGATACATTGTGGGCTCAGGAGGTCAGCCGCTCAGCAAGGGTGCTAATTAGGAAATGGTTTGCATTTTATGAATGAATGCAAATTATTCTCTGATTGGAATAGGTGGAGAGGCAGGGCGATCACTAAGTTTAGAAAATGCCACTGATTTGCTGCTTTTCTGCTGCTGTAAGTATTCCATGTTTGTGTGTGTCTGTAATATCTGCTCCCTACCCACCATATGTTGTGGTTTTTTCCACTGGTTTGTACCTCACTACAAAAGGTATGAACCAGCAGGAGGAACCAGTGCATGCAGCGCATCCAGGAAAACAGGTATTTAATCTATATAAAGTAGACAGGGAAATAGCTTTTGACCACACCTTTAAAGGCTGGAACCACCGATGCTCAGGCTCCAGTGCCTCCACCCTCTTTGTAACAATCAACACAACAAAGTCAGGTCAGCAAACTCGATGTCATCTGGGGATATACAGTCAGGTCCATAAATATTGGGACATCGATACAATTCTAACATTTTTGGCTCTATACACCACCATAATGGATTTGAAATGAAACAAACAAGATGTGCTTTAACTGCAGACTGTCAGCTTTAATTTGAGGGTATTTACATCCAAATCAGGTGAACAGTGTAGGAATTACAACAGTTTTCATATGTGCCTCCCACTTGTTAAGGGACCAAAAGTAATGGGACAGAATAATAATCATAAATCAAACTTTCACTTTTTAATACTTGGTTGCAAATCCTTTGCAGTCAATTACAGCCTGAAGTCTGGAACGCATAGACATCACCAGACGCTGGGTTTCATCCCTGGTGATGCTCTGCCAGGCCTCTACTGCAACTGTCTTCAGTTCCTGCTTATTCTTGGGGCATTTTCCCTTCAGTTTTGTCTTCAGCAAGTGAAATGCATGCTCAATCGGATTCAGGTCAGGTGATTGACTTGGCCATCACATAACATTCCACTTCTTTCCCTTGAAAAACTCTTTGGTTGCTTTTGCAGTATGCTTTGGGTCATTGTCCATCTGCACTGTGAAGCGGCGTCCAATGAGTTCTGAAGCATTTGGCTGAATATGAGCGGATAATATTGCCCAAAACACTTCAGAATTCATCCTGCTGCTTTTGTCAGCAGTCACATCATCAATAAATACAAGAGAACCAGTTCCATTGGCAGCCATACATGCCCACGCCATTACACTACCACCACCATGCTTCACTGATGAGGTGGTATGCTTAGGATCATGAGCAGTTCCTTTCCTTCTCCATACTCTTCTCTTCCCATCACTCTGGTACAAGTTGATCTTGGTCTCATCTGTCCATAGCATGTTGTTCCAGAACTGTGAAGGCTTTTTTAGATGCCGTTTGGCAAACTCTAATCTGGCCTTCCTGTTTTTGAGGCTCACTAGTGGTTTACATCTTGTGGTGAACCCTCTGTATTCACTCTGGTGAAGTCTTCTCTTGATTGTTGACTTTTGACACACATACACACCCACCTCCTGGAGAGTGTTCTTGATCTGGCCAACTGTTGTGAAGGGTGTTTTCTTCACCAGGGAAAGAATTCTTCGGTCATCCACCACAGTTGTTTTCCGTGGTCTTCCGGGTCTTTTGGTGTTGCTGAGCTCACCGGTGCATTCCTTCTTTTTAAGAATGTTCCTAACAGTTGTTTTGGCCATGTCTAATGTTTTTCTATCTCTCTGATGGGTTTGTTTAGTTTTTTCAGCCTAATGATGGCTTTCTTCACTGATAGTGACAGCTCTTTGGATCTCATCTTGAGAGTTGACAGCAACAGATTACAAATGCAAATAGCACACTTGAAATGAACTCTGGACCTTTTATCTGCTCATTGTAATTGGGATAATGGGGTAATAACACACACCTGGCCATGGAACAGCTGAGAAGCCAATTGTCCCATTATTTTTGGTCCCTTAACAAGTGAGAGGCACATATGCAAACTGTTGTAATTCCTACACCGTTCACCTGATTTGGATGTAAATACCCTCAAATTAAAGCTGACAGTCTGCAGTTAAAGCACATCTTGTTCATTTCATTTCAAATCCATTGTGGTGGTGTATAGAGCCAAAAATGTTAGAATTGTGTCGATGTCCCAATATTTATGGACCTGACTGTAAATCTGAATTAGCTACATGGTGAAATTCAGTAATAGATAGGCTTCCAAATGTAAAACACCAATTATCCCCCGGTGCCACATACAATAAAAAACAACTTAATACCACTCCCTTCCCTATTTAATATGTGCTAAGGTGGCTGCAAACAAATGAAAGGGTTCCTACAATCTACAAAATCAAGAATAATATTTATGTTTTGTTACTTTCCCTCACCCTGTATTAGTTTATGGTATAGGGAAGGTGCATCAAAACATTACGTGTTTCTGCTGTAAGTAAGGCTGTATAGCTGAAATGCGTAAGCCTGTCTTCTACTGAATTTCCCCATGTAGCTACTAAAGATTTATGTCCACAGATGACACTGAGTTTCTGGTCTGACATTGTTTTATTATTCAATCCATATGACTGGTCAGATACTTGCTGGAGAGCAGCAAAGTGTTTCAAGACATGGGATGCCAGAAAGGTAACTGTATATCCTCTTCTTTCAGCAGGTATGTTATTGGATGCAACTGGTTATTGTTATAAGTCTATTAACTGTTCCACCAATATATTTCACCCATCCCCTACCACACCATCAGTTCATGAACTATGCCACCAATATATTTCACCCATCCCCTCAGTTCATGAACTATGCCACCAATATATTTCACCCATCCCCTACCACACCATCAGTTCATGAACTATGCCACCAATATATTTCACCCATCCCCTACCACACCATCAGTTCATGAACTATGCCACCAATATATTTCACACAGCCCCTACCACATCATCAGTTCATGAACTATGCCACCAATATATTTCACACAGCCCCTACCACACCATCAGTTCATGAACTATGCCACCAATATATTTCACCCAGCCCCTACCTCACCATCAGTTCATGAACTATGCCACCAATATATTTCACACAGCCCCTACCACACCATCGGTTCCTTAACTGTGCCACCAATACATTGCACCCAGCTCCTACCACACCATCAGTTCCTTAACTATGCCACCAATATATCTCACCCAGCTCCTACCACACCATCAGTTCATGAACTATGCCATCAATATATTGCACCCAGCTCCTACTACACCATCAGTTCATGAACTGTGCCATCAATATATTGCACCCAGCTCCTACCACACCATCAGTTCCTTAACTGTGCCACCAATATATTGCACCCAGCTCCTACCACACCATCAGTTCCTTAACTGTGCCACCAATATATTTTACTCAGCCCCTACCACACCATCAGTTCATGAAATGTGTCACCAATATATTTCACAATCACTACCACACCATCAGTTCCTTAACTGTGCTACCAATATATTTCCCCCACTCTCTACTACACCATCAGTTCATGAACTGTGTCACCAATATATCACACCCAGTCCCTACCCCTCCATCAGTTCATCAACTGTGACACCAATATATCTTACCCAGCCAGTACCTCACCTTCAACACATTATCTGTGCCACCAATATATTTCACCCAGTCCCTACCACACCATCAGTTCCTTAACTGTGCCACTAATATATTTCCCCCACTCCCTACTATGCCATCAGTTCATGAACTATGCCACCAATATATTTTGCAAAGTCCCTACCACATTATCAGTTCATGAACTGTGCCACCAATATATCCCACCCAGTCCCTACCCCACTGTCAATTCATTATCTGTGCCACCAATTTATCTCACCTACCACCAGATTTGTACTCCCCCACACACTCCACTGTGCTGTAATGAAAGTAGATTTGCACATCTTAATGACATGTTCTCTGCTCTCCTATTACTGGCAATCGCAAATGGAAAGAGATTTTACCAGTAAAGCTGTACATGCTCCAGTACACTCTTACATTTATTGTGGGTAATAAATGGAATTGTAGGTTTTCTCATGCAATCCACAACCTGTAATCAGTATACACAAAAATAGGAGTTCTTATATTTATTTTGGTATAAGCACCCAGCAAAGAAGAGCTGACACTGTAAATGAGCCCTTTGTCATTGAGAAGTCTCCTGATTCTGCTGGTTTACCTCCTATTTTGAAAGTTGCCGTTTTGGAGGAAGGATTGCTGCAGAGGCTCAAATTGATAACTTATGCCTTATGACATTTCCATATTGTTGCCTTTGAATAAGATATAGGAATCTGTAGATTAGCCTCTAGAAGGAGTGCTTAGGGGCTCAGTTTAATTAGTTTTAAACACATATACTCATTTAAGTAGATCCAAAAAAATAATAATTATTATTATTAATAAAAAATAATAGTAATAAAATGATTATACATTTTCTTTAAAGCTCATCTGCAGGTATGATATTTTATTGCCTCTTGCCCCCCTTGCTTTCTTTGTTGCTGCATGCTTCAAAAATAATTGTTCCCTTACTTTGATCCAGAGTCCAGAAATGTGTATTTTAATGCCCAGTGGCATCTTTAATTAACCGGTTCCCCCACCACCCTATAGCATATATATATATATATATATATATATATATATAATTTTGTATTTCTGGGTAAGGGGCACATGCGCGCACCCTACCCGTGCTGCCAATGATGGCTTCAGCTGTCGATCAACGGGTCACGGCCGGTGATTCCCCGCCAGTACCCAGCGATCGCCAAGTATTACTGATGGGGGAGAGGTCTGTATGTAAAAAATACAGATCTCTCCCCTGTCAGCCCCAGCACACTGCTTTGTATTGCTCTGCATAGCAGAGCAATAAAAAGCAGTGTGCTTACACAGTAAAGCACAACGCACTGCACAGCACACACAGTACACAGTTAACCCTTTGATCACCCCAGATGTTAACCTCTTCCTGCCCAATGTCATTAGTACAGTGTCAGTGCATTTTATTAGCACTGATCACTGTATTAGTGTCACTGGGGATGTCAGTGACTGTCATCCCCTCCCCCCCTCCAGTGTCAGGACTGCCGCCGCAGTCCTGTTATAAGTCGCTGATCGCTGCCATTACTAGTATAAAAAAAAAAATTCTGGTGCATATATACCACCATTTGTAGATGCTATAACTTTCATGTAAACCAATTAATTTACACGTACTGGGATTTTTTTTTCAGCTAAGGCATGTAGCAGGATACATTTTGGCCTAACTTTATGTTGAAAATTGATTTAAAAATTTTTTTTACTGGATATGTTTTATAGCAAAAAGTCAAAAATATTGTTTTTTTTTTTTTTCAAATTGTCGGACTTTTTTATTTATAGCACAAAAAAATAAAAAACACAGAGGCGATCAAATACCACCTAAGGAAAGCTCCATTTGTGGGAAAAAAAGGATATAAATTTCATTTGGGTGCAGTGTTGCATGACCGTGCAGTTAAAGTAACACAGTGCCATATCGCAAAAAATAGCCTGGTCAGGAAGGGGGGTAAATCCTCTGGAGGGCAGGTTGCTACTGTTCCAAAGAACTGGTAGTGGGCCAGTCAACAGTAAATTATTATTATTATTATACAGGATTTATATAGCGCCAACAGTTTGCTCAGCGATTTACAATATAACGGGAGACAATACAGCAAAAATACAGTTCAATATAAGAAGGATTTGAGGGCCCTGCTCCTTGGAGCTTACAATCTAGGAGGGGGGGGGGGGCTAGTGGTACAAAAGGTAGTAACTGTGGGGGATGGACTGGTTGGAAAAGTAGAAGATTCCAGTATTAGCTGAGGGCAGGATAGGCTTCCCTGAAGAGAGAGGTTTTCAGACATCGCCTAAAAGTGAGCAGAGTAGGCAATAGTCTGATAAATTGGGGTAGAGAGTTCCAGAGGATGGGTGAAGCTCTGTAGAAGTCCTGGAGATGAGCATGGGAGGAGGAGACAAGGGAGCTAGAGAGTAGGAGGTCTTGTGAGGAGCAGAGAGTACGGTTTGGGAGATATTTAGAGACAAGTTTGGTGATGTAATTTGGGGCAGAGCTATAAATGGCTTTATACGTTATTGTTAGTGTTTTGAATTTTATCCGTTGGGCAACGGGAAGCCAGTGGAGGGATTGGCAGAGAGGGGTGGCAGATACAGAACGGTTAGTAAGGTGGATGAGTCTGGCAGCAGCATTCATGATAGACTGAAGAGGGGATAGCCTGCGATGAGGTAGGCCAATGAGGAGGGAGTTACAATAGTCAAGGCGAGATATAACAAGGGAGTGAATAAGTTGCTTAGTGGTTTCAGAGGTTAGGAAGGGCGTATCTTGGAGATGTTGCGGTGGTGAAGTCTACAGTGATTGGATTTGAAAGGACAGATGGGAGTCTAGGATTACACCTAGTACCCTGGCATGAGGGGAGGGACTGATGATTTTGTTATTGATCTTGATGGAGAAGTCAGGGGAGGGGGCACGGGCTGAAGGGAATACTAAGAAGTCAGTTTTGGAAAGATTGAGTTTGAGGAAGTGGAGTGACGTCCATGCCGATATGTCACTTAGTAGGTTAGTGATGCAAGAGGAGACTGAAGGGGTGAGGGGTAGAAAGATAGATTTGTGTGTCATCAGCACAGAGATGGTACTTAAAGCCATGGGAGTTTATCAAGTGAGGAGGAGGTGTAGATGGAGAAGAGAAGGGGTCCAAGGACAGAACCTTCAAACATGCTTTGGACAAGCATAAATCTATACTCAGACAGAAAAAGTTAGCAAAAAAAACCCACCAAAAAAAACACGCACAAAAAAAAAAACAGGCAGACTCAATGGATCACTTGGTCTTTTACTGCTGTCACTTTTCTACAGTCCTGTCCAGGCCACTGGGAGGAGGGTTCTACAACACTCTTTAGATTACATCCTTAGCATATGGGGCATCTTGCAGAACTACAAAGACCCTTCAGCCTAGAGGGTGATTAACAAAGAAAATATGTCTTTTTTGTGTTGTAAATATTGAATTTTTCTGTGTTCTTGCACCAATTGGGTAGAATTTCTTTTGGTGACAGTTTGTTAATGCTTGAAAGCATACACAAAAATAGTCAAACATTTACTCCAACGTACTACATTTAAAATTGTTCTAAAATGTACACCATTACCACAGTGACGTAAATAGTGTAGTGCTTAAATGAACAATACAGTGAAAGTCTATGTCTCCAGTCACCCTGCACACATACAGCAGACGGAAGAAAATGGTCTTTCCAACAGGAAGTGCTGGAGTCCTACTCTCTGACGTCTGACTATGGATGAAGATTTCAGAGCATGGAAGCATGGACTGTGCAAGAACAGTGAATGTAAAAGTAACAGACTGACTGCATAATTATGAAAAATATTTTTTATTTGGAGGTGAGCGTTAAAGGTTAACTCCACTTTCATGGAAAAATATATAGAAAAAAAATTATATAACATACAGTATACCATTGCTACATAGTCAATGTTGTCATTTAGGGTCCATGCACACTGGGCTTAAAAAAAAATGCTGCTTCTACAGGAGTTTTGCATTTTGCCTGTAGAAACAGCTCAATGTTATCCTATGTCTCTTTGCACATTTCCTTGCACATTAGGACATTTACATGCATATTGTAAGTTCAGAGTTCAAAATAGCCTTCTGGTTTTTGTTTTTGAAAAAAATGCTAAATGCTTCTAAATTCTTCTAGAAGCTCCTAAACTCCTGTACAAAAACGCTCTATATGAGCATTTTTTTCTGCCAAAGGAACTGTCTTTTTGTTAAGCCCACTCTGCATGGAGCCTAACGTTAACAAAAATTAGCTTCTGTTTTCAATCTACAGCCACTGTACTTTTCTGTAAAATCCAATGCATTTTGGGAACCTGGAGACATTCTGTACACAGTTGGTGTACAGAGCACCTCCAAAAATGTAATTTCCTGTGTGTGATTGGTTCACCGATTTACCCAGACGTCTATCGTTAGGTAAAAGTCAGATTTTAGGCACCCCCCCACATTAGAAGTGTAAGCTTTGATAAGATGCTCTCCAAGGGTTAATGACTTCTCAATCATAGAAAGCTGCTCCAGGTGAGTGTGTCTCCAGCTAATCCCCACACACACTAGATGGGTTCTAGCCCAGCACGCATGCTGTATACTGTGCGACAAGAAGTTGTCGATGGCTGCACTTCTGAAAATCCACTTTATTCAAAATGAAAACAATCAAATGACAGGTGCTTAACAGCTAGCGCAGGGGACAAACAAGTAGAAGCTATTGCCAGCGCTTAGCCATTACCCATTGGATCTAGTCTCCAGATACATTTTTATACAACTCATAACAGTTGTCATTAATCCACAGGTCATCCAATTAAAAGTACACTCAGTCGGCATCAGAGAAATTCCGGCTGTAGTGCACAGTACATATAACACTCAAAACTTAGATAGAAGGTTAGGTCCAGATCCACCACTGGAAAAAGGAAACATCCACCAGTGAAGTTTGAATCAAACCCATCATACCATATAAAATCATTAAACAATTCCAATAGCACATCCAAAAGGGGAAGAAAAGACGTGCATGTACATACAGTAAATAACAATAAATTAAAACCAAAGTGTTAAACATGATGAGGAACAATACTAATATACATTTAATATACAATTTAACTTTAATATAGCCACAACATATCATTACTGGTCTGGCTATATTGATAATGCTGTAGTAGATGGGGCCCCACAAAGGTGATCAAGTATAGCAAATGTTTCATATTACAATTTATAAAGTTCTTAATTCTATCATTCCTACTACTAACTGTGAACTTAAGTACATCTCCCCTCATCAGACGTGGACAACAAGGACATTCTTTTGTACCACAGCTATAGTTACCTTTAAAGCTAAGCTAGGTAGCCCCCCACCTATTACTAGATATAAAATAGCTGGGGGACAAGGAGCTGCCCAGAGAAGGGGCACATCAAGAGACTACTCTAGCCCCACCAGATAGAATTTGGACATACACACTATCGCCAAACAATATTGGGTCATTCAATGTTTTTAATTTTTCTAAACTCCATCCTAATTGCAGTGGAGAACACAGGTGATCATCTCTCTTTGCTGCCATGTGTCCTTATACCCAATAGGTTGCTCCGCTCTGTTCCCCTGGCTATGCTGACAGCCCTTCTAATGGTATCTTCAGAAAATCCCAGCTGTGTGAACCAATCTCCCATATTGTCAATCTCCCTCTCAAAATAAGCATTCCTGCTACATATTCTGCGCTGCTGTAAAAACTGGCCCACAGGGATGCCCCTGATAATATTTCCACAATGGCCAGAATCTGCACTTAAAATGCTATTACCAGACAAGGGCTTCCTGTAGATATTGGTAATAACACATCCCTCACAAACTTCCAATGTCACATCTAAATAAACTGATGGAACGTCTAGATCTTTGTCTATCTATATACAGAGTGAAACTCAGTTTAATGTATTATCATTCAAGTGTAATAAAAAGTAATTCAGTGTACCTAGTTCCCTGAAACAAATCAATATCAGGTTGTAAATTTAGCGCCGTAAAAATGTGATGTGTGGGCAGAGCGGGTTATCAGATCCAAAAATGCTCACCCTCTTTCACACAACCCATATACAGATTGGCAAGAGAGTTTGAAAACCTTGCTCCCATCCCAGCCCGCACTTTTGAAGATAAAAGTCCCTATCAAATGAGAAAAAGTTGTGAGATAGTAAATAATCAAGGCATTCCAAAATAATCTCCCTCTGTATACAGGAAAATAAACCACACTGGTCCAGAAAAAAAGAGAGACTGCCCTGAGTTCCATAGAATGTGTAATGAAGGAGTATAAACTGGACACATCATATGTATTCCACATATCACCCTAGACACACCCATGTTCTTGACAAAGCTTCAAAAGATGATTTGTGTCAAGCGAATAGCTAGATAACCTAGTGACCGAAGGTTGCGAAGGTTGGAGCTGATAGTCCAACCATTGTCCTATCCTCTCATTCAAAGACCTGTTGCCCTTGTGGGTTTTAGGTACATGGTAAAAAGACAGGAGTGACAGGTGTATCTGGGACCAACAGTTCCCCTTCCTGCACTGATAGTATACCTAGTCTAGTGCACTCTTCTGGACCAATGAGATAAGTACAAGTTGGAATTCAATAGTGGGATCCTTCCTCAGTTTCTGATATATGACACCATCTGAGAGCTGTCTAAGGGCTTCCAACCTATATGTGTCTGCATCCTGAACCACAACCAAGCCAACTTTATGATAATTCTTTATAACCATTGAGTAGTCCTCACTTAACCACCTAAGTGATAGCCTTTCCTCGGTGCTAAAGTTGTTGTTCAGAGCACATCCTCCAGACACGACACAGGAGGCCAACTCACGTTAGTTCCTGCTCAATTGTTTCTGAAACTGATCCATTTCATTACCTCTAGATTGAACAGAGTAAAAAAATTTAACTGTGATTAAAAGGGAACTTGGCCCATAGATCCCTGTTCCTCCTTTTCCTCCAATCAAGACTCATGGACCAAATCAATCAGATCACATAAAATCCTGTTAAGATCTATTTGTTCAACATTCATATCCTCTTTACTCATTTTTTAGTATCCCCAAAATAGTGGGTTTCATTTATTGGTATTTATGTACATGCATGTTTTTTCTTACCCTATTGGAATTGTTTAACCACTTTACTACCATGCTATAGCTGAATGACAGATACATCATGGTAATCCAGTTCTTGGAGGGCATCACATGATATCCGCCCAGAATGCGCCCTCTGCGTGCCCCCAGAGGTGCGCACCCAGCACTGTCCATGATCGCTGTGTCCTTTGGACACAGCTAATCGCATGACATGGTAAAAGGCCAATCACAAAGGCCTTTTGCCACGTGATCAACTGTGTCCAATCACAGCTGACCACTATGTAAATACACTTCCCAGTTATCGGCAGTACTTTCCTCATGCTGTCACAGCATGAGGAAAGTACTGCTGGTAATTGGTAACTTTTAAAGCAGACATCTGTACTGATAATCAGGGCACTGATTATCTGTGTAGCCCCATACGTGCCCAACAGTGCTTCCAATCTGTGTCTGTCAGTGCCACCTATCAGTGCCTCCAGTCAGTGCTCTTCAGTGCTACCTATTATTATTATTATTATTATACAGGATTTATATAGCGCCAACAGTTTGCTCAGCATTTTACAATATAAAGGGAAACTATACAGCAACAATACAGTTCAATACAAGAGGGTTAGAAGGGCCCTGCTCCTTGGAGCTTACCTATCAGTGCCCATCAGTGATTCATATCAGTGCAGCATCATCAGTGCCTCCTCATCTATGCCCACCAGTGCTGCCTCATCAGTGTTGCTTAATTAGTGTTGCCTGTCAGTGCTGCCTATCAGTACAACCTCATCAATGCATATCAGTGAAGGAGAAAAATTACCTGTTTGCTAAATTTTATAATAGAAACAGCCAATTTTAGTTTATAGTGCAAAAAATAAAACACCTAGTGATAGTTAAATACCATGAAATGAAAGCTCTATTTGTGTGAAAACAATGATAAAAATTTCAGATGGGTACACTGTTGCATGACCGCACAATTGTCATTCAAAGTGCGACAGCACTGAAAGCTGAAAATTGGCCTGGCAGGAAGGGGGTAAAAGTTGTTAATTATTTTATATGGTATATTGGGTTCGATCCAAGTTTCACTGGTGGATTTCTCTTTTTTTTCCAGCGGTGGATCTGGACCAAACCTTCTATATATATGTTTTGAGTGTTATATGTACTTTGCACTGCAGCTGGAATTTCTCTGATGCCGACTGAGTGTTCTTTTAATTGGATTACTGACCTGTGGATTAATAACAACTGTTATGAGTTGTATAAAGATGTATCTGGTGACTAGATCCAGTGGGTAATGACTAAACACATCTACCTGTTTGCTCACTGCTCCATCTGTTAAACACCTGTCATTTGATTTTTTCATTTTGAAATAAAGCGAATTTTCAGAAGTGCAGCCGTCCGGAGCTTCTTACAGTTAATCACTTCTAAAGGAATGCAGACCCTGCAGCTTTACAACACAGAAAGTGCATCAGCTGATTAACAATAAACCAAACCTTCCCATTCAGAATGAGTATGCAATCAGTCTGGTGAAACCAACACCTTCACAGCAATGACATTAGGAATCTGCTACAAAGTTTATTTAAATCCCTGCAATGCAATGAGGGGATTATTTTTTTTTCTCAACAACAGTAGAGCTGCTGTTTAGGTCATTTGATAAATGTCACCTACTATGTTGGCATCAGCTAAGATGCTTTTATGGAATTCGATTTCCTTAGTCATATCCTTTAGAATACTATAAAATAAGAAATAATGTACTCTTACAAGTCTTAGCAATGATGCTCCCGACTACCTAGATCCAATACTACTAGTCTTCCAGGGGCAACTGAGGATTTTCTTGTGAAAAGTGAGGGTATGTTTTTCACATTCCCTGCCTATTTTGCCTTGTGTCAACTGTTCATGAAGATAAATTGTAGACCTCAGTTGATGTGGCTAGGCTGTCATTAACAACTGTGGTTCAGGTGGTGTATTCAAAGGTTCAAGCTTCTGATCAATGTCAGATAATAGTGATCAACTGGCAAAGCACTAATTGCTACAACCTACTCCATTGTTAAAAATCTGCTTCCCTCTGAGCCAGGGGCAGACTGACAACTTATGGGGCCCCCGGGCAATAGTTGATCATGGGGCCCCTGTGTCCTTGCCCAAACTCAAAAAAGCCGATGAAAAAAGTACCAGGGGCATCTCATGGGGCCCCCAACTGACCCTGGGCCCTCGGGCAGTGCCCAAATTTCCAAATGGTCAGTCTGCCCCTGCTCTGAGCATCATGTGACGAAGAGAGGAAGACTGATGCCTTATCCTTCAGCTTTTAGCAGTAAATTCTTTGAAAAAAAAGAAAAAAAAAATAGACAAGAGAACAACATAAAACTTTAGGGCTTGGCTGAAAAACATGATGTGTTTACTTGTTCCGTAATATCTCCCTTCCAAATTTATCTCCACTCACAAATATTGACGATTCAAGTTTAATGCTTTTCTAAGCATATTCGCTGTCTTATCGACTATTAGACCTTATTTATATTTAATGACCATCTTCTAAAAGTTGGATCATATTAGAAATTTGTGGAAAGGCATATTATTACTCTGCGTTTGCAATGCAGGCCTTTTATCAGTCTCATCATACTATCTAAATTGAACTCTGGATTTCAAGAAAATTAATGACATGACGTTGGAAGAAGCAGATAGCGCCAGCTGACGTTTATATTGAAATGAAGCTATAAAGCTGTATAAGCACTGCTACCTTTATTAGACTCATAAGATTTGCATGCTGTATTAATATTTTGCTTATTTATTCCATATTTTGCTTATTTATTCCATCTTACTTTGGGGGGAGGGGGTGGTTAAATCATTTTTGTTTTAATTAACTGTTTTTACAGCTGAAATTAATCTATTAAACAAAAAAAAATCTGTAAAGAGTTAAAGGCCTTATGTAGACTGCAGCTGCTAAACTGACGTTGGGTGTTTTTATTTCTGAAGCCCCTGAACTCTCCTATGTTATCCTATGTGTCCATGTACACATAGTCATTTAGAGGAGTTTACAAGCAGCTGAGTTTACTAGCATTTCTCTGAATGCACAAAAACTGCAATCAGGACAAGAGTTTACATTTAAAAAGCCAAATGCGCATAAATGCGTCTAAACGCTAGGTGAGTTTAGCACTTCAGCATTTATTCATTTCAACGTCCGGAATAAATTAAAATTCTGTCCAATTAAGTAAACTCCCAAACACCAAATGCCGCTAAACTCCGTTAAACTGGTTTGAAAAAATGCAGCTTATGTGAGTTATTAATGCTGGTTTTCTCCTCTCATGAGAAACAGAATTTACAATAAACCAATGTACTTGAGGCCTAAAAAGACTAATGGCCTGTAAACATGATGAGAAAATCATACAAAGATGTCTGTATGAGGAATGATCGGATGATTATCTTATCATTAGTATAGTGCTTTCGACAGTCGATTCTGACTTCTGATGACAAAACCCAAGGGTGCAAGCTAGAAAATTCTTTTCTAATGTGAACACAACATCCTATTATCAGTTAGTGTGTGTAGTAGTCGTACAGAAATAATTGAATAGAAAGAAATGCGCCATGATGAGAAGCAGAGAACGAGCCTACACTTCCTCTTCCACTGCACTAGTACGTAGCTACATTTGCGTTTATCGACCAAGAATTTTCCTTACAAGGCAATACCATTCAGACTACATCATATTATGTGCTTTCATGGAAAATCGGACAATCGGTCGTCCGATTTTCTCAGTGTGTATTAGGCTTTAGCCGCTTTCCCTCCACAGAAATACTGCTACAAGGCGGTAGAGGTGTGCAAAATCACATACATATATATATATATATATGTGTGATTTTGCATTTCCGGGTAGGGGGTGCGCACGAGCTGTGTGGGCGCCCTACCAGCGCCGCCATTGGCCACTTCAGGTGTCAATCACCAGGTCCCGGCTGGTTATTCCCCACCAGCACCCGGCGATTACAGAGTATCTTGGATGGCGGAGAAACAATACAGATCTCTCCCCTGTCAGCACCTGCACACTGCTTTGTATGGCTCTGCATAGCAAAGCAATACGAAGCAGTGAGCTTACAGTGTAAAGCACACATACAGCACACAGTGAAACAGCACACAGTTAACCCTTTGATCGCCCCAGATGTTAACCCCTTCCTGCCCAGTGTCATTAGTACAGTGTCAGTGCTTTTTATTAGCACTGACAACTGTATTGGTGTCCCTGGGGATGTCAGCGACAGTCAGTTTCCTCCAGTGTGAGAATGCCCGCCGCAGTCCTGCTATAAGTCGCTGATCGTCGCCTTTACTAGTATATATACATATATATATAAATCCAGTATATATACCACCATTTGCAGACGCTATAACTTTCACGTAAACCAATTAATTTACACTTATTGGCATTTTTTTAGCAAAGACATGTAGCAGAATACATTTTAGCTGAAATTTGATTTTTTTTAAAATTTTTTTTACTGGATATGTTTTATAGCAAAAAGTGAAAAATATATTTTTTTTCTCAAAATTGGCGGTCTTTATTTTTATAGTGCAAAAAAAAACACAGGTGATCAAATACCACCAAAAGAAAGCTCTATTTGTGGGGAAAAAATAAATAAATTTCATTTGAGTGCAGCGTTGCATCACAGTGCAATTGTCAGTTAAAGTAACAGAGCTGTATCGCAAAAAATGGCCTGGTCAGGAAGGGGGGGTAAATCCTATGGAGGGTAAGTGGTTAATCATTAAATTGTACTGGCATCAAAGAAGCTCTCAACCCAATATTTTGTTCTGGGCACAAGGTGATGCTGGCAACCTAAGTGCAAAATTATAATTACTCTTGCAGTTCCAATTATAATTCACAATCTGCTAAAACCAATTCCTGTGGAAGCTTGTTCCACATTTTTAAGATCTTACTGTGAAAACCCTTTGCATGTGCAGATGATTATAGTCTATGATTAGGTACATAAAAAAAAAATCAGCACAAGGGACAATACTCACATCTAATGAGAAGTGTCGCTTGTGCTGGTCCCAGCTGTCCTAGTGGAAATCCAGACTCCTCTGCCCCATCCCCTCCGTGAGGAATTTTCTCAGAAGCGGGTCGTGCTTGACCCCCTGGATGAGTCAAACCACGGTGAAGGAGGCACAGCGCGACAGCAGCATCTTGCTGAAACAAATGGTGCTTTATTTACAAGGTTTGTGCTCACAAAGTGCAGATTTCCAAAACATCAAAAGTAAAACACAAACAGAAAATAAAGCCTTGCCATGTTGATCATCTAACTGCAAACACAGAATCCTAACTCCTCATCTGGGTACAGCCTACTGCTGCTCAGTCACATGGCGATCACACAGATTATCTCAAAGTCCATAGTCACACAGACTTAGTCCTCATGCACACTGGACATTTTTACAGCGGCTGTTTTTGTCTTTTGGCGTATTTTTCTACAGCCAGTAAATCCCCCAGCATGTTATCCTATGTGTCCATGCACACATAGACTGTAATCAGCATTTTTTGGCAGGGGCATTTTTTTTGGCTGTGAAAACGCTCTAACGCTGAAACCTAACGGCAAACTGACGTTTTTGAGTTTTTGTTTAGTAAAAAAAAACCATTTTTTGGGGTAAAAAAAAAAACGCTAAAAACACAAACGTGGCATATGCCACTAAACGCTAATGCAAAAACTTAAAAAACACTGAAAACCTCATGCTGTATGAATTGAGGAGATAGACATTTCATTAATCTGCCCATCCTCCATTCATAGATCGCTTTTTAGATTTTTCCCAGCATCAAGAGGACCAGTTTCTTATCAAATGGACAAGAGAACAAGATTCTTATATATACTAAAAGGATAAGGGTAATATTTTATAGACAATTGTGTCAATGCATGTTTACTGAATTTTGCCATTTTCTGCATCCTTTGTGTTTTGTGTACATTAACATTAACAGACCTGTTGTCAAATTTTGCCTATATAAGAAAACATTAAAGTATATCTTTACTTCAAAACAAAAATGTAATATATTGCAAATTTCCAGTCCTCAGATATGGTAGTTGCATTAGTTTTTTTTTTTTTTTCAAAATTTCTACCTGGTAAAACTCACTTTCTGTCCTATTGTGACAGCACTTGCTCAGTCTACTTTATCTGCAGAGTAACAGTGTTGTCACACTAGGTTTCTCTTTTTTATTTGGATTTACAAATCTCTATCTTTTCGTCTACATAGCATAGAGGTAGAGATTGTAGATCACAGACAATATCTGGGAAGGTAGATAACATTTTAAAGGATTTCACTTTAGTTCAGAGGAAGTAACAAGAAAAACTGGACTTATTAAGATGCCAATTTCATCAGTAAAAAACTATCACAAAAAGCAATAATTTTTGTGACATTCATATGTAGCTCTAACCAACCTAGAGGGCCTGCTGATTAGTCCCTGGGTTTTTTTCCCAAGTTGCAGCCAGGCATACAGCAGCACAGTCAATCACACAGCTCAATGATCACTCTAGGGGTATAAAAAGTCTACTCACCCCTGTTAAAATGTCAGGTTTCTGTGATGTAAAAAATGAGATAAAGATAAATAATTATTTCAGAACTTTTTCCACCTTTAATATGACCTATAAACTCTGCAACTCAAATGAACAACAAACTGAAATCTTTTAGGTGGAGGAAAGTAAAACTAAAAAAACTAAAATAATATGGTTGCATATGTGTGCACACCCTTAAACTAATACTTTGTTGAAGCACCTTTGATTTTATTACAGCACTCAGTCTTTTTGGGTATGAGTCTATCAGCATGGCACATCTTGGATGGCAATATTTGCCCACTATTCTTTGCAAAACACTCCAAATCTTTCAGATTGCGAGGGCATCTCCTGTGCACAGCCCTCTTCAGATCAACCCACAGATTTTCGATCAGATTCAGGTCTGGGCTCTGGCTGGGCCATTCCAAAACTTTAATCTGCTTCTGGTTAATCCATTTCTTTGTTGATTTGGATGTATATTTTGGGTCATTGTCATGCTGAAAGTCATGTTCAGCTTTCTAGCAGAAACCTGAAGGTGTTGTGCCAATATTGACTGGTATTTGGAACTGTTCATAATTCCATCTACCTTGACTAAGGCCCCAGTTCCAGCTGAAGAAAAACAGCCCCAAAGCATGATGCTGCTACCGCCATGCTTCACTGTGGGTATGGTGTTCTTTTGGTGATGTGCAGTGTTGTTTTTTGTGTCCAAACATATCTTTTGGAATAATGGCCAAAAAGTTCAACCTTGGTTCATCAGACCATGACACATTTTCCTGCATGCTTCTGGGAGACTTCAGATGTGTTTTTGCAAAATGTAGCCGGACTTGTATGTTTTTCTTCATAAGAAAAGGCTTTTCCGTCTTTCCATTCTACCCCATAGCCCAGACATATGAAGAATACGGGAGATTGTTGTAACATGCACCACACAGCCAGTACTTGCCAGATACTCCTGCAGCTCCTTTAGTGTTGCTGCAGTCCTCTTGGCAGCCTCCTAGACCAGTTTTCTCTTCTCGTCTTTTCATCAGTTTTGGACCATATTTCCTCCACTTGATGATGACTGTCTTCACTGTGTTCCATGGTATGTCTATCAAGTACCTGGTGATGGAGGCCAATGGAGAGAGGGCTTCCCTTGTGGCTAAGTTCCCGGACTCCCCTGAGAGTGGGACAGCGGGGGAGTTAGGCCCAAAGTTGCACAGGTTGCCTGTAGGAGTGCTGATTGGTGGTCCACTCAGAAGCACAGCTGGTGCATTGAGATAGGTCTGCAGACAGGAGGCGCCTGTGCATGGTATGCAAGCCCTTCCGGAATTTAGATGTTTACTGGGTAGTCGGTTCAAGCCAAAGTCAGGTACCAAGTGGGAATCAGAGCAAACATAGTCAGATGGGATAGCTGAGGTCATACACAGAGAAACAGAGAGAGAGAGTATCCGTAAGCCCAGCCGAAGTCAGATCAAGGGTAAATATCAGAGTAGACAGGTCCAGGAGCAGCCAAATCGATATCAGGAAATCACAGGTTACAATCACAGGAAACAGGAACAGGGCACGGGGAGCTAGAGTTCATCCAGCAACTTGAGGACGTGATGAGTCTCCTTATGAAGGCCGCCTGGCACCAAACTGAGGCTGATGCGGGCTTCTGCGGCAATGCAGGGTACTGGCAGAAATGCCAGATCTTCCAGAACTTCTGCCGTCGACAGGACCCTGACAATGTCTAATACCTTGGAAATTCTTTTGTACCCTTCTCCTGACTGATACCTTTTAACAATGAGATCGCTCTGATGCTTTGGAAGCTCTCTCTGGACCATGGCTTTTGCTGTAGGATGTGACTAAGAAAATGTCAGGAAAGACCTACTAGAACAGCTGAAACTTAATTTGGGGTTAATTAGAGGCACTTTAACCACTTCAATACAGGGCTCTTTACCCCCTTCCTGCCCAGGCCAATTTTCAGGTTCAGCGCTGTCACACTTTGAATGACAATTGCACGGTCATACAACACTGTACCCAAACTAAAAAAATTTTATCATTTTCTTCACACACAACTAGAGCTTTCTTTTGGTGGTATTTAATCAACACTGGGGTTTTTATTTTTTGCTAAATTAACAAAAAAAGACCAAAAATTTTGAAAAAAAATCCACGTTTTTCTTTGTTTTTTTTTTGTTATAAAAGTTTGCAAATAAATAGTTGTTCTTCATAAATTTAGGGGGAAAGATGTATTCTGCTACATTTCTTTTGTGAAAAAAAATGGAATCAGTATTTATCTAGTCTGTAGGAAAGTTATAGAGTTTACAAACAATGGGATATATCTGAAAATTGGTCAGTTCCCTGAAGTACTGACAGCCCAATCTAATTTCTTGAGGCCCAAAAATGTCAGAACAGTACAGATAATGACCCCTTTTTGCAAAGTAGACAGTCCGAGGTATTTCATAAGAGGCATGGTGAGTTTTTTGAAGTTGTAATTTTTTTTGTCATCATTTTTTGGAAAATTAAAGAAATTAAAACAATAATTTTCACAATTTTTTTTCTACATACTGTCACCAGTTGCAGTACAGCATCATCATATAACTGGTGTGGTGGTGATCAGGGACACTGACTGGTGAAAGTACAACAACAAAAAAAATCTCATAATTTTTTTTTTTTTTTTTTCAATTTTTGTTTATTTTTTATTTACGTTTTTCTATTTTCATAAGATTTTTTTTTTTCATATTACACTATGCCCAAAGTAGTATAATGTTACCATAGTAACATTGTACTACTTTGGGGAAGTGATCAGTTTTTTGTTTTCTTTTTTTTAACACA